AAAGAAGATAAGGGAGAGAGAAGAGAAGGAAAATGGGAGTGAGGAACAAGGGAGAGATTCATGGCAGAAGCCCCCGAAATGCATAGGATTTTTCTTCTGGAGATGGTTTTCCAGTTGTTTATCTCAGCGGGACTGCCAGGAAGTTTTTGTTTACTTGTTTTTATGTTTTGTACTTTTGTTTCAACTTAATGTACTTGATCTGGTGGGCCTCCTGCCAACACCATGCACAAGGGCTCTAAAACACAATAGTCACTTTTTATTCAAAATTTGTGATTCTAGTCAATGAGACTTTTTAGTTTCTTGACAGACTGACAGATCTTCATGTTCAAATTCACCCTTCTTTTGAGGATCAGCTTAAATATCACCCTCCTAACCAGCCCTCTCTAGGCCCTGGAGCCCCTCCTTGTCCTTGCTGGTCCTGATTACAACCAGCCCTATACATACAGCTGCTCCTATATATAACCCTACTTTGACTATAGGCTTCTTGATGGCACTGGATCATAGCCAGCTGGGCAGGGATTCGGGATGGTTTCTTCTGCAGACCCGGGGCCTGCACGGCCTCTGGTATGTAGGAATGCTCAGGAGAATGAATGGAAACCAGGGATTGCATTTTATCCTACTGGAGCCCTCCCATGTGCATTAGCATGGAGCTCTAGACAAGATAACGCTCAATTAACGGGTCCTGAATGAGTCAGGAAAACATCATCTAGAAACTGAAAACTGATTTAACAAAATGAAGATTAGAAACTTTTATTCTTATTCTTATGCCAGTGAAGCTTATTTCAAAGTATAGGTTAGATCTCCTGATAGGTTAATCTCCCGATGAAAATAATCTTAAAAGTCAAACTCCAAACCTATATTTAAATTCCCTTAGGGCTCTTTGCAGGACTCCACTAGGTTTGTTTCTTGGATTCTTTGGCTTTCATCATCGTGGCTCAAGAAAATAGGCATGGCATCATCTCTCCCAGGAAGAGGACCCTGGGAGAGGCCCACTTCTTCCCTCACGCAGCTGCTTGTTCTTCCCCAGGGTTGATTTTCTTTTAAAACTGGGGCCAATTCTTTGAAAAGGCAGTTAAAATTGCAAACTGTCCGTCTTCATTTGTAATCAACTGGCAATCAAAAAGATTGTTGAAAACAGGAAATTCCCATGGAGGAAAAAATCAGGTACTTGGTTCTTGGTGACAAAATGCAAAAGCTTTCTTCCCAACCTATCAGCTGTTTGGGGCATGATGAAACATCTGGCACAACTTGTGCGACCAGAGGCACAGAAAGCCCTGTGTGGGGGGGAGTGCCCGCCAGCCCGGACAGACGGCATCTGCACGTCAGGGGCAGAGGGCGCTGAGTTTGCACGTGTCACCAGAGGAGAAGAGACTGCATTCGTTTGCTCGGGCTGCCATAGCAGAGTACCACAGACTGGGTGACTTAAACAACAGAAATTTATTTTTTCACAGTTTAGAAATTTATTTCTCACAGTTCTGGAGGCTGGAAGTCCAAGGGAAGGTACTGGCAGAATTGTCTTTTGAGGCTTCTCCGCGTGGCATGCAGATGGCCATCTTCGCCCTATGCCTTCACGTGGTCTTCCACACGTATGTCCCCGTGCTCAAATTTCCTCTTATGAGGACACCAGCCATAATTAAGGCCCACTCTGACAACCTCATTTTAACTTTATTACCTCTGTAAAGAAATTTTGGGGGTATATAATTCAGGCACCAAGCTTGAAAAAGATAAAAAAAAAACTATCTACTAGGGGACATTTTCCTTCTTAAAAGGCTAAAAGTCCTGTTCCCATGGCTGCATTTATCAACTTCTTGTTTTAACATTCCATTTTGAAATTAAGCTCTCTTCTTTCCACTCTTGCCCCACCACAGAGAATGTATGCCATTCCGCCTTGCATGTGGTTGATTGTGTCTTCCCCGGCTTGCCCGTGAAATCCCGGAGGGCAGGCAGGACTGTCCTGTAGTCATTTATATATGCCTGTCGCACAGGGCTTCCCGAGGAGAAGATACGCTGCCAGCATTTATCATCTTCAGTCGACAAATGCCTGCTGACACTTGCTCTGCGGCAGGCTCTGCACTCGCCACCGGGTCTTGTGTTGATTGAAATGAGGTGACTGTGGTCTACAGGACCAAAGAATGAAAGCTGCGTCTACCTGGGATGGACCATGCCCGGATTTCACAAAGCTCACCCAGGCAGCCGTGTGGCGGAGGGGGTGGACGGAGGGCTGCTGAGAGGCACGGCCACGCGCTGCAGGCGGAATCGGCGTAGCATCCCAAACTTTAAAGTCCATCCTGCCTATGCTCTTTGGGATGTTAGGCAAATTGCCACATTTTTCTAAACCTCAGTTTTAAATGTTTTTAAACATAGATCTTCCAAAGTTGGGAGTTTGTGGCCCCTGGCATCGCAGAGGAGCCTCTCCCATTATCCTGCTCCTCCCTACACTTTCATCAGAATTCAGTCCACAGCAGCCCAAGTGACCACCCTGGGACCTGAAAGGGGTCAGACAGCAAGAGTAGACACGTCAGGCTGCAAAGACAGGAGGGCGGAGGCCACAGCTGGCTTTGCCCTTTCAGCTGCATTCCAGGACTTCTCAATCTCCACACCAAAGATAGAAGGAACTACTGAAAAGTGCCCACCAGGATAATGACTGAGTCTTGCTGAATAAATGCATTTTCCAGAAGCATTAAAAGAAGTTTTTTTTCTCATCAGCCCCTTTCCTGAGCCTATTACATAATCCACATCTTTCTCCAGGCTTCCCCCTCTAGCTTATCAGATCTTTCTTTTTTCCTGTGTACGTGACATATTTCTTTTGTAATTCTCCCTTGACTTCTGTTCTTGGACAACTCTGGAAGGAGAAAAAGACTTTGCCTGTTTTCCGACTGTTTGGTATTAAAGCACAGGCTGAGTTTGAGTATGGCTCTTAAGAGGCTGAAATAAGAGGTGGCCAAGAATATAAACTAAGTTCAGAAAGTCATTTATTCCCTTCCTATATCAAAAAAAAAACCCACTCCAGGGGTAAGATGGGGGAGATGGGAGATGATTTTGGTTCATATATATTAATTGTACCATAAAATGCTTAATGTTTACTTGGCCCCCCACCACCAGGCTGGTGCTTTTCAGTGCTACCTACTTCCAGTGTATAAATGAAATACCTTATTTCCTGCGTCTCAGCTATTTCTTCAAAGGGAAAACTGCTTTCATTTTAAACAAATAGTGAGGAACGCAGGACACAGGGCTCTCTTAATAACAGAGTGACAGCTTGCATGATCTTTAGCAACATGAAACTGACTTTGACAAATCTCATTTGTCTGTACTTTCCTTAGGGTTGATGAGAGTAAAGATAGTTCTGAGGCACAGGCTAACTTCTAGGTGATAAAATAGTAGAAGATGTGACACTGAAAACTATGCAGAGTGGTATGATAATCTAGGAAATGCATACTATCCTACTTCTCTGCAAAAGCAGCTGATATCAATTGAATAATAGATGCATTTTTCAGTACTTCTATATAAACAATCTCTACATGCTAATAATTGATTACTCAGATCCTCTTAGAAGTGTCACAGTGATCTTATAACATGCAAACTATTTATTTAGTTATTTAGTGAGCTTTTAACAATGCGATGGACACCTGCAAACCTTCCATCCAAAACAACAGCTACAACTTTGAACAGAATCTATATCTAACCACATGGCCATACCCCCATCCCATCCCTTGCTTCTTCCCCACTTGAAGTAACCATCAGTCTAAATCCTGGGTTCACCATTCCCTTGCTTTCCTTTTTTATATGATTTTATTGCATTTACTTTTAGTCCTATAGGGTATATATTTTTTTATTTCATTTGTGTTTAATTTAGAATATTTTGAGACTTATGTTTTGTACTTAATATTTCAGTGTTGCTAGAGTTCAACCATTTTGACTGCTGTATAACATTTTATTGTGTGAATATGCCATGGTTTATTTTCCATTTTCCCTTTGATGGACACTTGGGTTATTTCCCAGTTTTGCCATTGTGAACAGCATAGCTATAAGCATTCTTATATGTGCCCCTTCTTGTACATGCACAAGAGTGGAACTGCTGGATCATAGGCTATAGAAAATGCTCAGCTTCAGGAGATAATGACAATGTTTAATCTTTTACATAGTCATTTCACATACATATATATATATGGATGATTCATATTGCTTAAATTGATATTTGCTACAATTAAATGATAAAAGCAATATTTTCTATTTAGTGTTTTAGTTAGAAAAAGTTAAAAAAAAAACAAACCCAATGCATTTCTTCCATGAGCATAACATTAGGCAAGTGTACACAAAATGGCATGTCTTAGATCATGCCAAGTCTAGAACCAATACAACTCATAAACTAAGACAAACCAAAACAATACCACCGCAGCAGAAATTATACCTTTTATGGGACAGTTCTACCTAACGTCCAACTCAAGATTAGCTCCTAAACAGCATAAAATGTTGAGTTATATGTCCATACTGTAGATATTGTTGCCTAGATGTATGCTACACCCTCCACTCCTTTTCTAAATGCACTGTTGTGAAAATCTGGGCCCTTATCTTATCTGGATAAAGAAGGATCTTGGTGGAGAAGCCCTCCTATGTACTTTCTCTTTAACTGACAGAGGTACATATACTTTCAGCAAGCCGAACAATGTTGTAATTAGCAGAGTCAATAATCATCAGCAAACACTATTATCTGAGATTTTTATGATTCTTTCATCAGATGCTGTCATTCTCTGAACTCTATTCAGTGTTTTGATTTAACAATTATTCATTATTCTTCTTGTTCAGAAATTGCGTATCTCTGGAACAATGTACATACATTTGCGTTTTTTAAAAATGTTCATTTTTCTTTATGGGCAGAGAGTCACCGGAGTTGAAAAAATGGGCTGCCTAGAATTATGACTTCGTGTGAAGTTATATTTCATGACGACAATAGTTTTGTTCTAAGGGAACAAAAAAAAGAGAGAGAATGAAAAACAACTTACCTTCACGTAGAGCTGCTGAAATTCCTCGAGATTTAACCTCCCGCTCGGACAGTCCTTGAGAAATCCTTTGTACCACTGCTTGAGTTCATGCTCATTAAACTCCGTGCTCTTCACCAGGTCCTCCATCACTTCGGGGGCCAGTTTGCTATTCTGTTTCCCCATTCTGCCTGAAGAAAAGCAAATTAATGTAATTAGCACTGTGACTGTGATTGTTTCAAACGTAATTAGGAGCCAAGCTAGAGTTCTGAGTAGTCCCTTGGTTGGATCTCCCTCCAATATGTCTGATCCATGTCTTCCCAAGTCTGCCTCCTTCTACTTGGTATTCTAGAGAAAATACGAGCAAAAGAGACTGTTCTGACAGTTTCAAGGGCTGCAGAGCTCACCCTCCTCCTCTTGTGTCATCTTCCACAAGGTGTTGACTCCCAGATGGAAGGAAACCATCTCTTTTTATGCTATTCATAGAAAGCATATGGAAGCTATTTTTCTTCTACGCATTACAATTCATTAGCCTTTGCTGCCCAGGTGTCTAATTCTACATTTAGGTTGATAATAAATGGGCTTATTGACAAGAACAATAAGAAGACTTTATAACTAAGTGATCAAAAAGTGGCCTGGAAAATCTGATCAGCAATATTAGGGAGTCTCAGTTATTGTGATTTCAAAGTTGCAGCTTTTTCAAATGAAAACATCTTTTTTTATTAGCCATATTAATATTCTATTTTTTCTCTCATATTTAGATGCTTCCTACAACATTGTCTTCAGAGTTAACAAATTCTTGGTGGCTTTTTCTAGGGATTGCTTGGTGAGTTTTAGTTGATATAATTCTAGACTCCATTATTATTGATAGTAAGTAAAAATAGATTTACTCTGATGGCTAATTAAGAATTAAGTAGATAAACAAAGACCAAAAAGAATACTCTAAAATTAATATAGTTAATTTAATTATAGGGAAATTAAGGATAATTTTAAAAAATTCCCTTTCATGTTGTTGTTTTATAATAATAAAAAATTAAAATATAACACTTTAACCCCAGATTGATTTAAAAAGTCAAGTTAAACTTGAAAATCTGAGAGAACACCAGAATCAAGAAAGTGCCAGAAGATTTTCTGGGATCCAGTTAGAGGAGACTGAGTTAGGTTTTGAAGAAGTTACCCGAGTGCACCCAGTCCTTCAAAGTGCTTGAGACGAACTCTCTCCCAGGTTTTAGGCACGTCTGCACTTGCAATAGCCCAGAAGAGGTAACCTCATCACATACTTTATTGTTATTATTTTTTAACTCTCCTTAAATGTTTTCCACACCCATTGTCAATAACCTGCCCTAACAATGAACAATCCTTTCACTGTAATCAAACCACGCCACTCTTGCTACTCCCAGGGAAAGCTTCCACTCTGCACCACCCCAGCAGCTTACCACGTGGTCAGATGATATAACACCATGAAGATGGACATTTATCTCCCAAGCTCTTCAGTCTGAGAAAAAGACCCGGGGATCAGCAACTGTGCCCTCTATCATGGAGCTTCTCTACTTATTTTTGCTCTAAACTTCAAGTTTCAAGACTCTTATTTGCAACTGTCTTAATTATAAGTTACTGTGGGATTCCACAGCTGGTTGTGGAACTCAAGTGGGTACTCAGGTGTCAGGTTTAATTAACATGGGTAAGAAAACTATAATTCATGGTTATCCTGATAATCAAAAGGTGTATTTGCCAAACTTTTCAGTATTTCACTTTGTTCTTTTCAGTAGAGAATTGCCAACTTTCATTATTAAACTAGATTCTCACCTAACAATCATGGCTACTGAATATGGAGTTTTGGCTATGGCGAAGTCACTATAGAGAGCATGTCACAGACTTCACAACGGAACAGTACAGATTGAGGCAGCTCCCTAAGGCTCAGAAGTGTTTGGTAACTTGTACAAGATCACACAACTAATGCATCACAGAGCTGGAATTGGAAACTGTATCTACCAGACTCTAAGGTGCAATCATAGATAGTGGATGAAAGGCATTTTGGGAGAAGGAACAGGAGGACTGGAAGCAGGAAGGTTTGAGAGAGCTGAGTCAGGGCCTAGAAGGGATGAAAGAGGAGTCACTTTGCCAGGCTGGCTGCCTTATTTGGAAAGGACTTAGATTTACCAGAACCACAAACTCAGAAGTGACTTTGTAAGAATGATGGGAAAATGGATTAAAGGTTATTAAACACCACTTCCCCCAAGTGCCTTCGGAAGTTCAACAATGTATCAGCTTCTTTGTTGAGCAAGAAAGCTTAGATTCTCCATGGATCCTTTGTGAGGTCTTACACCCGTTCCAGCTGACTGGGGAGATGGTGGTCTCTTATACACACTGGGCACATTGTCAGGACTATGAATCACAGCTTTGGAGACTCACATGCAAAGCGTGCAAAGCTGCATGCTTTTTGGTTTCAGGTCGCAGTCAGCACCATCACTCAGGTGTGCCTGGCAATGGGTGGATCACGCAGAAAGTCAAGTCCTGGCCTGGCTCAGAGTGGCATTGCCACCTGCCTTCCTCAGGTCTTGCCTGGATTAAGCACTGGCCTCCTCACCAGGCATCCTGACTCCAACCACCCTCCCCATGGCTGCCTGAGTGAATTTCTGAAACATAAACCTCCTGCCCTGATCTGCTCCCTAAAACCCTCAGTACTTCTCCTTAGTCTCCAGGATGCAGCCCCGTGGCTGCATGGCATAGGCCCTGCCCACTCGTATCTTCATTTTCCGCCAAGCTGTCTTTTCCCATATGCCAGCAGTAATTAACCATTACAGGTTCCAGGACTTGTGTGCTTCCACACTTGCATGACTCTGCCTATGCTGTTCTCTTTCCTAGAATGACATCTCCCTTGATCTGCTTGGCAGACGTCTTGCCACACCGCCTCCTCCTGAAACCTTCATGGACTTCCCATGGTAGATTTAGGCACTCATTCTCCTAGGTATTTCCCTTTCCTTGGAAAAGCTTGCATGATCCTTATTTATTTCTCTATTGGATTGTTAGTTTCTTGAGAGAGAAGACAGTCATTTGTTTATCTTTACATCTTTGACTAACTCCTCTAGGTGCTCAAACAAATATATTTTGAGGAATGCAATAAATGAGGGGTCTGAGTTATTTGGTATGTTTCTTCCTGGGAAAATCAGTCTTATAATTCATATATGAGGAGAGTCAACGTAATCATAAATATAAATACAAAATGCAGTCTGCATATGGGAGGAATGTTTCATTTAATTGCATAGAAAATAGCCAGCCTTCCTGGAGATTGTTTACTTCTCTGTCTTCATCGCTAAATTTTGAACACCTTGCAGGCAGGGCCTATGTCTTTTATCTCGGTATCTATTCTAGTAATTGGCATAAAGCTGGTGCTTGGTAATGTTTGAAAAATGAATGGAAGTGTGGTTGGATTAATGCTTCCCCCCCGTACTCCTTTTGCTGTGGGCTGCAGTGATTTGGGTCAAGTAATATCATTCATTATGGATATAGAAAAGGTAAAAATATCAGTAAATCTTATAAAAATTCCCAAAAAAGAGATTCCATGACATAATGTGAAGGGGATGAATGCCAGCTCTGTCTCTAACTTACTCTGTGATCTTGGCCAAGACCCTTTCCTTTCCAGTTACTCAGTTTCCCCATTTAAAAAATGAGTTGGACTGGATGATCTCTAAGGCCCTTCCAACTCCACCGTTCACTGATTTGCCATGTAAGTTTTGTAAATATGAAAATATGAGTCAGACTTCAAATTGCCTTGTTTCAGCACATACTGGCCCTTTGGATTCTTTACCTGAGAACTTGTCAGCACTTGAGTGTTTGTTACCCAAGAAGGGAGGAGACAGAAACCGAAGTGCGTTAATTTTAAGCTGTGGTTCCAGGCTATAATACAAAAATAGCCCAACCCCAAACCAAAGGAATTTCTCACTGCTTGAGTTGCAATAGAAAGAAGTTCAGTGCCAGGTACAAAACATGACTGGTGGCGGCAAGGAAACTTCACAAGGACAGAACCCTTGAAGAGGAAAGCCCAGCACCACTTAATTACAAATGATGCCCCCAAAAGATGGCATTTTTGTACGCTAATTTATAAAAAGCTTTTTGTGCAACAGTATTTACCCATCTAACAATGCTGTAAAAAAGAGATAATTATTATTCCCTTTTTACTGATGAGAACTTTGAAGGTCAGAGAGGTTAAGTAATTTATCCTACTTCAGCCAGCTAGTGAAGGCTTAGTAAAGAATCAAACTAGTTCTCTGGCACCCCATTGTTTTCCTAATATAGACTTCATCTTCTCTCACCTGGATGCTGCACCCACTTCTGAACTGGTCTTCCTGCCTTGAGTTTTGCTCACCTCTCATATACTCTGTCTTGATAGCAGTTTCCAGAGCAGAAGAGGCAGAGCCAGTAAGTTCTCTTAGGAGCGGAGAGGACCAGGAGAACTTCCTGGAGGAGGGAAAGGGCCCACCAGTGAGCCAAGAAGCACCAATGTGCATCTCTGCTCCACAAACACTTTGAGTATTAAAGAGGATTCGAACAAAATACATTTGTATGTGTGTGTTGCCCTGAGCTTGTTCCTTACCCCGTCTATCTAATTCCAGCTTCCCAGGACATACCAGAGCCTGTTGAGTATGATAAGGCACACAGAACTGCATACATGTCTCCTCCTGGGTAATCTAGCAATCATCTTGCTGAGTGTTAGTGAGATTCCTCTAAAGATTGGGTGGTTGAGATGGAGCAGTCCAGCCACATGTGCAGAAGCATAATAGGATAATCACAGCAATGGGGAAAAAGCCTTGGAACTAGGACCCAGAGCAGAAGAAGAAAGTGCTTTAGAGGCTCAGGTTGGAGACTTTTGGAATGCAATGCCAATGTGGAAGAAGGCTTGAATGGGTTAGTTTCAGATTACCCAGGTCGGTCTTGAATAAATCAGGTCTTTTCTCCAGGCCCTAGGCTCCTCACTTGTACACTGAAATAATTGCAAGAAACTGACCTTGCTTGTGCTTAGACTCCTGCCTGGAATGCCCTTGTGTTTTCTGATCACGTGTCTAAATCTTACTCCTTTCACAAGGCTCCCTTCCAATCCTGTCTTCTTCGTGATGCTTCTCTGCCAACTGTCACTACTTTCCTCTTTTTCTTGTACTTCATATTGCATATTTTGGTCAATAATGATCCATGG